ATAAGAAGAGATACTGAGAAGTTACTGAACTGTTTCAAATATCTAGCCTGACTCAAAGCTTTTCAAAAGAAAATCTTGCATTGCAGTGTTCATTATAAAAGTCAGTTGCTATAAGTAGTAATAATATTGGTTAGGAATGAGTTAGGAATCTTACCTTAAAAGACAAGTAAATAAGGTATCTGCAGCATTTAGATATAGCGATAATCCAGCATAATTTTTAGCTTGTTTTCTTGTGTGTTCCAACACAAGGAAAAAGTGACTTATGTTTCCTTGTTGAAGTGGTAAAGCCCCAAGTGTTTTTCCCAGGTATTTAGAAGCACATACCAATCCATAATAAACAAGAGGAGCAGAAGTGCAGTAAAAACATGGTAAATTCTGTTAAAGATTAAATCAGTCCAAAAGAGTTGACAGAATAAGGAAAAATCTACTTTTCATGATGATGTAAATACCAAGAGATACTCCTGTGTGTCTAATGGAAACAGAAAAGAATTACTTAATAACCATTTCCCCCCTTCTTTTTTTTTTTCATTTCATGGGTTTAAAAAAAGTTAAGTTGAAGATCTACATAATTTTTAAAAGATGTACTGTATTACAAATGCCAGAAATTATTCTATTCCTCATACATGGGGAAGGGGGAGTTCCTTGTCCTATTTAGTTCAATAAATAATGAACATTAATGAATTACATTGTTTATTGCATTTTTTTATCTTGTATGTCCAGCACTTGAGCAGGTGGAAACAGTCGAGCTGTATTTTACTGACAAATTTCTCTGGGTATACAGTGTGACTGTTAGGAAGATACAATTAGATAAGTGAATTGTTTTTCTATAATACATCTTCTGCTATTTTCTTGTATGATCTTATAACAGATGAGCATTATTCACCTGCTTTCCTGGAATAGCAGATTGTGTTTGTTTGTACGGGGGATGTTAAGTGAATTAAGCACCTGAGCAGTTAGCCCGTTCGCTTAGGGAGGCTGGTGTTGAGACAAGGAGGTTATGGCAGGATACGGAGCAGTCTGGAGGAAAAATACTGTGGATGTAACCATTCTGCTAGAAGAACTGAATTGAAATGGGGACACCACTGTTAATTCATGTGTAATTACATTCCTTTGTTGTTAAAAATTAAATCCTGGGCGAGAGGAAAGTTTGAGCCTGGAATTGTGTTTTGAAGCAAATCTGAGCTGATGCCTTTCCAAAAACCTTTGGAGATTGCTAGGACATAGTCACCTGGAGGTAGATACCTGATGGTCAGATTTTTGTTCTTTTATTGTCTTAAGTTTTCTGTGAGTTTATCAGCATCTTTTGTCATGCAGTTTATTTATAAAATATCACCTACTACAAAGTTTTGCTTCTCTTCCTCTCTTGTCTCCACTAGACCACTGTTTGAGGGAAGGATTCACCATGCCCTGTTCGTTCATGTGCGATCTCCAGGTCAGCCATCACGAATTCCCTGTTCTTTGAGGCTGGCATTTAAATCTGCACAAAAATCTTTGCAGTTCATTGTGCTTCACGTGATCACTGCTGTAGGACCAGAGGCCCCAAAGCCCTCCTTGCAAAAGTAATTCTGCAGGAGTCTCAGCAGGCACATGGGTTGCAAGGCCTTTGTACCTTGAGATTTGTACCTTAAAAAATAGTTGCGTTCTCTGCAACATGGGAGTGTCCTGCAGCATTTCCCCCTATAAAGTATGGGGTTTAAATGCTTTTATATAAGTTTCACATAATGATTATTCTTCCAACATCTCTGCCTCCCTCTGCCAAGATGTTGTTTTTAACCGCATTGTTTTATGTGAGGAATTCCCTTTCACTAGGATCTATGGAATTATTGTGTCTGAAGAGTGCTCCCCTTTTTCCTCTTTTCTATCAGTTTGCTGGTCTGATGCATCTATTTTGGATGTCAGTCATTCACATTTCTACCCCAGGCTGTAAGTTCATCTTTTCACAGGAATATCAGTTCAGGCATTTTCTCAACTGCTTGTTTCTCCAGTGCTTGTCCCTTCCCTGTCCCCCGTTTTAGTGGTATGTTCTTTGAAATACTGGACTTTGTCATTTCAACTGAGAGGTGGCACACCGGTATGGTGCCCGAGTCTGGCATCCTTTGTACAGGCCATAACATGCAAAAACGACTGTGTTAGCTTTTGCTGTGTTTGCAGACAAATGAAGCTTAATATCTCTATCCAGGCTCCGAATAACCTATGAGATTCTTTATTTAATTTCAATCTGCACTGCTCATGGCTTTTCAACCTCTATTAGACTTCCTGACAGAGAGTGCCGGCACCATGGAACAGTGAGGTTCGCTGGCTGGCTCTGTACTTTGTTGTGTGTTGTCTTTATTGTATTTGTGGGATTTACCATTCTTTCACTACAAATCTTCATAATTTTTTTTTTTTTAAGTTCTGTGTTAACCCTGGAAAGTTATAGAATTGGGTTGAGAATTAAAAGGCTTTCAAAGCATCCTTGTCCTGAAACAACTCTGCAGGGCATGAATAAGTAACAAATGGATTGTTTTTCAGTCAAAATGGATCAGCTGACATGAGCTTCCCTGTGAAAAATCTAGTTTTTACAGATACTTGTAGGGTTATGTTTCTCCCCTCTTAAGTTATGCAAGAATTTAGATTACCTTGAATCAGTGATAGGCTGAATCGACCTCTGAAATTATAAATCATCTTGAATCTTGTGAGAAGATCAAAATGTATGGGGTTCTGTCTTAGAGAGGATGTGTTTTGTCTGTGTTTTTACAGTACACATTTAGCATGACACTGGGTTGATCAGATGCTTTCCTGAAGCCAATTTAGTTCTTCAGGGTCCGACTATGTCATTTTTTAAAAAATGCAGTGTGCAGTAAGAAGCCATACTGGTATTTATGGTTGTTGATTCACAATAATTCCAGACTAGGTAGAGGTGGATATTTAAAGAAGATATCAGCCGATTGAAGGTTTTGAGGAAACACTGCTTGCAGTTTCATTCTTAAAAATATTTTTTTTCTTTTATATCTCAGTCTGTGTTAAATATGTGTGTAAATTTATTATTATGTATGTTACGATTATACCTTGTACAGATATGAGGTTATAGTTTTCATAATAAATACCTCCGGTATAAGTTGTACTGTGGCATCATTAACCATCACTTTTCTTTTTCAACATCTTGTTACTTTCAGTGTAAATCTTCCAGAAGGACCATAAATAAATAGGTGGTCTTAAGTAGCTTTTCTTTTTCCCCAATGTGACCTTAATTTTTTTTTTTTAACTCCCTTAGAAAGCAGTCACTTTAGAGGTGAAAAACTTTGCTTTTTGATTCTAATAATTAGAGTCCCAAATCTGCTCAGATTAGACTAACCTTCTCAGTTGACGCCTTTCACCTGCGCGCTGAATGTCTTCTCTCAGCTTTCTTGCCTCTCCTCCATCAGTGGAGTGGTTCATTCCTATGCAGTGGCACATAAGGAGGTGGCTGAAGGAGCTCCACTGAATGCTCGTTCAGGAGTTTGGTGGTATATTCTGAGCTGTGTTCTCTCTTTAACATCTGGCAAGCGTGAAATGTTAAAGTTGAGTGTTTTCACTGGGGTGTAGAGTATTCCCTTACATGGTTTCTTGTAAATCTGTTATTTTTCATCAGTGGGAAGCTTAGAAATGCTGGGAGGTAAGTGCTGGTCTTCAGCCTGCTTAGCTTTGCATGAACCCCATGTGCCAAATCTTTAGTGTGTGCCCTGCCATGTGGTGGATGAAGTCTGTTTGCTGCGGTCACTGGGATAGCTACTTCCAGGCCTTTCCTACTGAGAGACTTGCAAGCAAACTGCCAGCCCTGAGGTCAATCCCACAGCTTTGGCAGTTAGTGTGTGATAAGGTCCTATGGTAGCATTGGTGATGATGCTTTGACATTAATTTTGAATACCTCTAAAATGTTCTGTATTATTAAACTGATAGCAGTGATGTTTATTAATGATACTGCTATGGGAAGGTAACGAGACACCTTTAGAGTGCTCTGGTTGAAGTGTTTCAGGATTTTGTGCTGTTATTTCTGAAAGACCGTGGTAACAGAGAACACTGGGAGGTCTCGGGAGAAATTAGGCAAGATAATGTGATTGCTGAAAAATTAACCCAAGTTGCAACTGTATGATAAAAGCTTTAAAAAGTTTTTTTCAAATCATATAAAGTAAAGAGAGAAAAACTAAAAGCAAGTCCCCAGGCAGGGCTGAAATAGATGTATCTGCTGAGGCTTAGTCCTGTAGTATTTGACATAATTCGAAAATTGAAGTTACTTTAAAATTTATAGTTGTTTCTAAAAAATAATTGAAAAACAACTTCAGATTCTGTTTCCTGAAAGTGCAAAAGTTCCACTAAGTACAGTAGGTTTCCTTGTTTTCATGTGTTAATTCTGGTATTCTAAAAGTGTGCAAATGGCATTTGTCTTTGGATTTACAAAAACTCGAGATATTCAGAGTTTGAATTATTTAAACTCCCACAACACATGCACTTTTGCTTTTCAAGCTTGAGTTATAATTTAATTAAAAACTTCTGGTGCATCGCTAGCTATTTAAATATTAAAATGTTCCATGGATCACTTTCGATTATCTACCATCATGAAATTCCTGAAGATGTCAGATTTTTAAGATTCCCAAAGTTGCACTTGGAATTGTCTGTTGATGCAAAGGGGACTGTGATAATTACATACATCCATTAGTATCAGCAGAGGAGATAAACTTTGGGGAGGCTTAATGGGTATGTCTCAGTGACAGCTAGCAAAGAACATTTGGCATGATTAAGGATGGATTTGAATGTACTTGAAAATATACTCTCATTATGGACGCCCAGTGGAAGTTGCACTACAAATGTTAAATTCCCCAGAAGAAGAGTTGTGTGGCAGGGAAGCTTTGAAATCCACTGTGGCCGTCATCCAAATTACTCTCTTCTCTTTGTGTCTTTCCGCTGTCAGATTCACTTTGTGATGCCCAACTTGGCTCCCTGCATCTTTGAAAAGAGGCAACCTGTTGATTTCTCTGTTTCAGATTGTCCGAAGATACATCAAGGACTGGCTTGAAAGGAAGAAGCCTCCATTTGGCGCTATCAGCAGCTGTGTGCTCCTGATGATCATCTATACAACGTTCTGTGATACCTTCGCCAATCCAAATATTGACCTTGATAAATTCAGCTTGATTATAATAGTGTTCATAAGTAAGTCCAGCCTTAAAGCATCTCTTTTATGTGTGTTTCAGGTGTGTCACGAACTGTAGGTACTGGAAAGGGCGGGGCTGCAGGGATACGGGCACAGGACTAGAGCTTGTACTTTCAATGCGTCCAGTAAATCAGATTACTAGACTTCTTAGGGGCTGGATGCTTTTAGGGGATTGAGTAAGCATTTAGAGAGGGATGAACCGTGCTTATTTAGGTGTGCCTGAGGTTGCTCAGTGGTCCCCCCTTTCTAAAGGGGCATGATACTACTTTCCAAGTGTTTACAACCGCTCTGTTTGGCTTCTTTGTTATTAAACAACCATAAATGCACAGATGTTGCATTCCAAACAGAAAGGAAAGATTTGGGGTTGAGCTGGTACTCACAAGCACTGTTACAACTTTTAAATAGTTCTTCCTTTGCCGTATTATAAACCTAGAAACTAGTCAGGGAGTTTGAATGTGTTGATATGTTTCTGTGGATGAACACATTTCTTGCAGAGTTTGTTTTAGAAACACTCTAGCCATTCAGCCTTAAATAACATACACATGAGAATAGACTGCTGGTATCCTTGCCATCAGTTAAAAATACACTTGCAGATCGCTACCTCCCAGGGAAAGGAAGCGGTATACAGGCACTGTCTCCTCTCCCAGCAGAGAATTCCCATCTTGCTTCAGACTGTCCAGAGACAGGGGTTTCAGCTTGCCTGGGGGAGATGTAACTACAGTATACTACAGTATAAATCACATCTCATACACTCTAAAACTGTTAGATTTCAAGAAATCAATGCATCACGTACCTTGAAGTGTGTGTATGTGCCCATGTTTCTGTCTAATAAAAATAATGGATCTTCTATAAATCCAGCCTCCACTAAAGTCAGTGGGAAATTTGCCCCTGCCCTATGTGGGTCAGTTCTTATTCTGTCCTAATTGCGGCAGGTTTTTTGATTATGAAACACTATATGTGTGTAAAATACTACATGGAATTATAAATGGTACTGTATAAATACTTTATTATGAAAGCAAAGAATAAGGAAGCCATGCTAAGGAGCTTTTTTCCAAAATAGGAGGAAATAGTTTGCCTAAGCACCTGAGAAGGAGCACATCCCAGATGCACTTAAATCAGTGCAGAGTTGTCAGCAAAAAAGAGGGACAGGGAAGTTTTCAACTCTGACTTAACATGCAGAGAAACTCAGAATGAAGTAATTTTATGTTACTGTGCTGACCGCTACTTGGAATAAAAAGCTCTTTTTTAGTTAAAAAGGCATGTTCTTCCTTGAGCAGTTGGTGTAGACTGGTTGCTTCCATTGCCTTTCTTGTCCTTTCTTTTATTTCTCTGCAAGACAACTCTGCATTTGTGCCATGTGAAATTATATACACCACTTGCAGTGCAATACACTGAAAATCATTATATGTACATTTTCATTGCCAGTGTGCATAACTGGAGTTCCTTAGTAAGAATGTTAACATGAGCATTGAAACTGCTTGGAACATATTAGATATTTGTTTTTTTCTAAAATATTTATAAAACCAAAAACCAAGGAAGTTGTGGAGATGGATATGCACATTGTTTCTAGAAAAAGTTTTTGTACCAGCATTGGATGTGTTGTGTTGTGTTATACCAGGATGTGAAATTAGCACAAGGAGTTTGAGATGAAACTGCATTTACTATTCTGCTGATCAATGTTTCTATGTAATTTTTATGTTAATACTCTAGCCACAGCAAAATATGCACAAGGGATAATTGGTAGCAACACATGCTTATTGCTTTACAGAATTATATGTATTAAGGGGTTTTTTTCAGTGCATATTAAATTAATGTACTTAGCTGCAGAAAAAATGTAATTCAAGAACAATGGATTGCTTCCTTAGTTCACGAAGGAAGAATTAAGTGCATGCTGAGGTGACATTTATACATCCTAGAAAATGTATGTAAGAGAATAGAAAATGTCACTGGTAATAGCTAATATCCCTGCCATGTTGCCCAGTTGTAAACTGGGGTGAAAATCAAATGTATTGTCTTGGCTTGCGCTACCCCATGGGACATGTTAGCCTTATTGCATCCACAAGTTTTGCAAGGAAAAGGGAGAGGACCCACCCCAGATTCTGCTGCAAGTAAAAGCCCTTCCCCCCATAACCCACAACCCCCCCCAAAAGGTCTGTGCAGGTCACAGCGTTTTTCCTCCAGCTCTGTGGGGAGTTCCTGCACACCGGCACAACGCTTCATCTCCACAGTCCCAGCAGCTACTCACGGCACAACGGGGAAGCTGCCTGCTTCTCCCCGCATCTCCGCAGACCAAGGGTGGACTTGGTGCATCCCACAGCCCCTGTGGGTGTCAGGAGAGCTGGCAGAGAGGAAAGCTGCCCTCAGGATGCTCAAAAACTGTCCGCCCTCAGACAGCTAGCTGAGCTTGAACGAAAGCTGCTTTGTCTGGTGTGCACTGCCCAGTTCAGGAATTAGCCTTTGTCTCAGAGGGAATTAAAATGTCTGTGATGATCTCTTAATAGTGATCATTCATCGTGAGAGTAATATACCCGGTGTGTGAGAATATTTGTTGCCATCATGCTTACACATTGTACTTTCTCCTGTTAAATAGAAAAGGGATAAATTTAAATACTTGGCAACCAGAGCATGTCTGAGAGATTTTGTGTTGTCAACCCAATAAGCCAAACTAGTGCAAACAGATGTGCAGCATGCAGTGGTGCACTTTCCCATCATTCAGCATGTCAAGAAATGCTTGATTCAGAAGAGTTACCTCAGGAAGAACTTGTGTAGCCACAATATTAGCTCTAGCTTTCTTGGATGCAATGATAGGTATTGTTCTTCCAGGCAGTCTTTAAAGGTTGTCTGTCACTGGATTTCTCTGGATAGGCTTGGTCTAGTCTAGCTTCTGGCCTGTTGTATGGGCACAAACGGCATGTGCACAGCAATTGCAGAGATTTAAGTGATCTTTACTTCTGTGATCCAAGTCTAATTTTAACTTGTTTCTCTTTCAGTATTTTCTGTTCAGATGAGCTTCATGTTTTTGACTTTCCTCTTCTCTACAAGGTAAATGAATGTGCTGAATCAGGACCTTTGAATATGTGTTTTGTGTGATATCTTTGATTTGGGTTACACAGTTTATGCAAATGTGTAAGGGCAGGTTTCTGAATAGGGGTGACCTCATTTTGGTATTTCATATTGTCCTTACTGCATTTTCTCTGTTAGAGTTTCATAGGCTAAGAGAGCAGGACCTGAATTCTGTCCTTTCTTGTGTGTTAATTACAGAGTTGTTAAATCTCAATCAATCACTGCTATACCTCATCCACTGAAAAAAATGGATTTGCACAGATGTCACTGAAGGTATAATTTGCCCTGCAGACATGCTGATGACATATGAGAGAGAGAACTCAGTTTGACTTTTTACATCTCAAGATACATTTGCTGGGCTGGCAATTCACTCTTCTCTGTATATGTCAAATGTGTTACGTTTATATGGTGATTCTTAAAAGACAGTTGTCCTGAACTAATGTTTGGTAGAGCTATTTTTTTTTCTATTTAAATATCAACCATGAAGTTGTACATTCACTTTTCAAAAAATAGTACCACAAGAATGGTGTTATCCAATGGCTTAGTGCATCACTTGAGCTGACCAGAGTATTCACTGTTGTCCTCTCGCTTAGGCTTACTGGAATATTTTTCTTAGGAGTGTTCTGCTGAAAGGGAAATGCCACAATACAGCAGCCTCCAGACAAATGGTTTATATAAATTATACAATATCCATAAGGGAGAATCACAAAGAAAGGTGCAATGTCTTAGAGCTACTTATGCTTTTTTAGTGCCATAAGAAAGCGTGACAAGATCATACCCTGACCTTAGAAGGCATTTTTAAATAACTTTTGAACTGCTAGACCTAACCTGGGGGGGGAAGATATGTCCTAGCTGTAAAATCTAAAATGTTGTAAGTATTAAACAACTTGGACAATGTGGTAAATATTTAGAATAAAATGATTCCTCATTTGGACCAAAGGGTGATCCATTGGCCAGCCATATACCTCTCTCTGTAAGTCATTTTTCCATCCTTCCTGGCCTTATTCCCAGTGTGTAAACCCTTAGATGCAGTTTTTCTCTGAAGTGGAAGATAACTACATATTCTAAGCAGCGCTCATAGTGTATCCAAATTGAGTATTTTGTTAATATTACATGCTAGGAAAAGTAATCGTAGGTCGTTTTCTTTTTTTTTATGGAGGCAAGCTGCTCACTTCTGTGATATAGCATGTTTGCAAGAATAACCTTGGCTGGAATAAAGTTGTCCTACATGTGCGCAGAATTCCTCTCCTTCACAGGGAAGCAATAGTCATTAGAGAGTTTGCCACAACTGAGAAACAATTCTGCTTTAAAAAAAAAAAAATCAAACACTACTGTTCATTTGTGGGTAGAATTATTTCTGTCACTAGACCTGATCAAAGTGATGTGAACGTGCATATGGATCCTCAAAGTAATATATTTGATCGATGATGTTTTAAGAAGGTTTTTGCTATCAGAGGTTATTAAAACTCTTTCTTTTCTAGGAATAACTCTAGTTTCACACCAGCAGACACAGTGGCTATCATTTTCTGTTCCACACACAAATCCCTCACCCTGGGTAAGTCAGGAGATAAGCTTTTGAGCAAAACAACAGTAACATTCATACCTTGCTGTGTTGAAAAGAAATATTGTTGGTTGCTGGCTTTTTGGCTTAAATGGTTTTGGTTTTAGTGTGACAAGTAATGCTACCAGTATGATACTAATAGTAGGATAATATTCTTGCACAGATAAAATAAATGCTTATTACGGGGCAGACAACATAGTCGTCTTGGCTGAGATTTTAGTGGTTATACAGTAAGACCACCTTATTTATGGAAAGCTGGATTCTTCTTTCTGTTCTTATTCTGTCCTGTTGCCTTAACGCAATATTGATAAAATTTCAGGTTTGTGACTAAAAACATAGTAAGGTATCTGCTCGGTCTCACAGTAAAACCTTACACCTAAAAGCTGGGATGTACAAGTGTAAATCAAAGCATGTAGTGTATTCAGAAATCACAAATAGACAATACTGTCTTTTGTGTAACATGAGCCAAATGTATGTGTTTATTTTAAGTCTGCAGCTATTTTGGATAGTTTTATTTATTAGAATTCATTTATCAAAACATCATTGAGATATTTGTCACTTACGACCCCTTAGGGATGATCAGATGTTCTGATGGAAATTCACAAAATACTGCTAAATCAATTATGCTTACAGCCACTTGCTACTGCTTCATCCATTACGTTCAGTCAGTGAAATGACTATTACTTGAATATTTTCTTACTGTTTTTCAAAATATGAAAACATGTGTTTGATAAAGCATACGTGCCTTTTCAAGACTGTATCTGTCAAAAACAAACACAGCTGGTGTCAGTAACAAAGGTAAGAACTCAGCCTGAAACAGGGGAAGAACAAGTCGGGACTTAGGTAGATGTTTTCCAAGTCAGTTTGATACAGCAAAACTCATCTCAGGGTTCTTTGCTTCAGCCAGGCCTGTGCTGCACAACTGTTAGCAAGTGCCCTTGAAAGTCTGTGGGAAGTGAAGGAGTTCCTGGAAGACAAGAAAAAGGCAAACATAATGCCTCTCTTTCACAGTGGAAACAAGGAGGGGACGAGGAATTATAGATCAGTGAGTTTAACTTCATTTTGTAGAAAACTGCTGAAATAATTAAGTAAATTATTTTAACAGTGTAGGAAGAAACAAGGAAATGAGTAACAGCCCTGTAGATTTGTCAAACGCGTATCATACCAAACTAACCTAATTTCCTTTCACTCAAGGTCCTGTGGGTTGCAGAGAAGTAGCAAAAGTTGTATGGCTTGAGACCGTTATGGCTTTTGACATTTGCATGATGTTTTGGGCTCCACAGTTCAAAAATTATGTGGACCAACTGGAAAGAGATCAGAGGAGAGTGCCATGAATGATCGTAGATCTTAAAAACGTGACCCCGGAGGAAGGGTTGAAACAGTTGGGATTGTTAAGAGAAGACAGCTGAAATACAGCAGTGATCTTCAAATGCATAAAAGGTTGATGCGAAGAAGGAAAAAAGTAACTAATTCACAGTGGACTTTGAAAAGGGAAGGACTTTGTTACAATGATGATGATTTAAGCTAACAATCCGGGAAACCTGTCTAATGTAAAACAGTTTAGCTTTGGAATACGTTGCCTATTGATGTCTTGAATCTCCTGTCATTGTAGACAAGCCTCAGACAGGAATTAGGTAGCTAGACTTGATCCTGCCTTGGAGCAGAACATAGATTAAATGACATTGGGTCTTTTTCAGCCAAATCTTCTATGAAACTGAAGCTTCAACTAACAAATGAGCTTGTATTCAGGAGGGCAGTTACATTTGTATTTATAGACAGCAACCCCACACATAAGTCATAACACACTACTATACTTGCTATTTGGAAATGCATATAAACTTAGGACACAACTGTGACACTACAAAAGAGAAGCTGGTTGTATCTAACAGCACAAATGTGTATGTCTCCCCTTCCCTCTCCAGTGAAAATAGTTTTATATACGCTCTGTTGAATACTTCTGCAGCTTGCCATGAAACTAAGAAAATAAGCACAAAGCCTTTTTTTAGTATTCAAGTCCTAGAGGGGCTTGCCATCACCCAGAAAAATATTAGGACTTTCATTTCTTTTACTCGCTCTACCAACCATCCTCATGCAGCCTGTCTTGTCCTGCACCCTACGCACGCAGCTGAGTCAGTTCACTTTTCATCTTTTTATATTTTATTTTCTCCTTTAGAAGAACTTAGTTTGAGGTTCCTAGCTTGCTTGACTTCTTGGCTCACATTTTCCCAATTCCAAGTTACTGCTCTCATTAGCACAGCCCAGTGAGTCAGGCTTTGTATTTTGCAGCTGTCCAACAAAGCACACCACCAAAAATACTTTAGCCACCTTGATTTCAAGGACTCCTACAGTCACAAGATGTAATTTATTCCTAGGCTTTGCACTTCTGCACTGCCTTTCCTTACTGATCAGGGCCTGCCTTGAGATTGCTGCATGGCTGGGACCTGTGCTTCCCTCTCTGTATTCCATCTCTGGGGCTCAGCTTTGTCAAGGTTTCTTGGAGGCTCTTGTCTTGCCTGGGGCCAGCAGCAGCATGTCCTGAATTGAGCACTTCCCTGATGGGGAAGTGCTCTTTTTGGCAGTCCCCGGGAGCCCATCTCTGGTAAGCCTGAGGACCCCTACGCAGTGTGTGCACTACGCAGACATGCCTGCTGTGTATCAGTTTCAAGCGGGCTGGTCTTGAGACCATGTGTATTTTACTCCGTTCTGTATTAGTACCAGGTCCAGATAAGACAGAGCTGCATAAGCACACGTTTCTATGTAAATAGGGAAGATTGGGTTTTATAAAGCTGTAGTGTGATGAGGCATGCTCCTGAGCCAATGATGTAAACATGAATGTTAACCAGAGCAGCTAGCGTTTATTCCTCCACTGAAGGTGGAAGCAGAGTAGATCTAATTTGTTTTTAAGGATCAGCCATTTCTGAATGACAGTTAAATCTATCCACGGCGGAGTCTTGTCCACCCTGATCTTAGAAACAAGAACAGATGTAAGCATTTTGGCCCTTACTCTGTTGTTGTTCTGTCACATTTCTACTTGTCCAGAGGTGTCTACTATAAACCATGCAACCAGAAACCTTCTGTTCTCTTGTAGAGTTTTTCCCTCTCCCCCTGTCATTACAATGCCTGAAAGCACAAACACAGCTCAGGGTCTGGTTTCACATCCGTTGTGGAGCTCTGCTCTGTTTGTCTTCAAGATTCCAGTGGTAGTGTATAAATGACCCCTCAACACTTGTTCTTTCGCTTTGAAACTGATTTCTCTCAGCTTGGCAGGTGAAACTCCAAATAGGTACGTCTGGCCCATTCCCTGGGGAGCTTAGAACGGCACCAACTAAAGTGGGAGAAGAGCTGACAGCTTTAAAGCTTTAGAAGTGGTAATAGGAGAGGCATGAGAAGACTTTTATAAGTCACTTTCTCCCACACCATATTACAAAACCAACTAATTCCCATGCAGTGCATGCTCATGAGGCCAACTGCCACTTCCACTGCTGAATCCATGAATAAGCGCTTGCTCTGCACGGAGATGAGTGCTGTTCCCATATGCTGGGTTTTATTTTGTAGACAGAACAGTTGACACACTTTTTGTCTCAAAGATCAGAGTGCAGGGCATGTTTGTGTAAGGACAAATTACAGAGGGTAGGTGCCTTTGTGTTTCTTAGTTAGGAACACAAGCCGATATTTCTGCATAGAGGTGGGTGCTTTGGCAGCTTTTTGAATACTGTGCATCACATATGTGGAAAAACTAATGTTTATTTGTATTTCACTTAATGACTGAAACAGGATATAAACTTAGAAGGAGCAAAGATAAATATAGTATTCATAATGCCCTCTGGCATATTCACCCCCACTTTGTTCTCTTTCTCTCCTCGCTACTCACATATATGCACAGTACATGTGAGCACACACATATGCAGACATTTGATGCATGGCTTTTATTAGTGCATTTGCCATTGATTGATTAGTACTTAGTATTAGTACTTCGTCTATTGATTGATTGCAGATGAAGTGACTATTTGACCTTTAATTATGAGCCTTGCTATTGAAAATGACATTGAGCTATGGCTTCACATAATCCATCTGGAAAGCCCGACATGATGCCATTCCCTGGAGTTCATTCAGTGAGAAGAGAAGAGGCCTCAAGGAAGTGCAAAGCTATCAGTGTAGCTCATCGAAAAAAAATACTATAGTTGTTGCTTGCACTTACACAAAAGTTGCAGCCCAGTACAGACTATTATTTTATTTTTTTGCAGAGAGTGAATTGCTAGCTAGGAGTTACAACTCCAAAAGTAAAATGCAGGATTGTAAAAAAAAAAAAAAAAAATTTAACTTTAAATTTCTTTTTTTACTCTGTAAAATTATTTTATCAGCAAAAAATGATGACATTGAGCTATGGCTTCACATAATCCATCTGGAAAGCCCGACATGATGCCATTCCCTGGAGTTCATTCAGTGAGAAGAGAAGAGGCCTCAAGGAAGTGCAAAGCTATCAGTGTAGCTCATCGAAAAAAAATACTATAGTTGTTGCTTGCACTTACACAAAAGTTGCAGCCCAGTACAGACTATTATTTTATTTTTTTGCAGAGAGTGAATTGCTAGCTAGGAGTTACAACTCCAAAAGTAAAATGCAGGATTGTAAAAAAAAAAAAAAAAAAATTTAACTTTAATTCTCTGTATTTACTCTGTAAAATTATTTTATCAGCAAAAAATGGAGTATTGCTACCTATTTTGGCTACCGCAAGTGCAAATGTTAGTACTGTAGCTATGATGAACAGCAGATTGGTAAAAAAACAAACCAACAAAAATAACCCCCGCATAATAAAATCAGGCTATTGTTTGTGATGCAGAGTGCATTTTTCCTCATTTGGATTTATCTGTGTGGCAGTTCTTTCACCATGGAATTCTTGAAGTAATGCGGTCAAAGTTTCTAGGCTACAAAATAATGTCAGGAAAGAATAGAGTTCATTTTGCAAATAAAAGCCAAAGCACTAATTTTCTTTTGT